CCTGGTAAATGTCATTTCCTTGATATCCGTAATAAGCCACGGTTAAAAATTGTATTAGGATAGACACGTAATTTCCTCTACGGTATTTGGAACAGTGATGTCCTTCCAAGCTATGACGTACCGAGAAGTCCGTTCTATTCTTTGAAGTCTCCTCCCTTCGAAAGCTCATTTGTTTGAAAATTATTGTAGCAATTACCTGACAGAACTTAATAGTGACTGTCACGAAATGGAATTAAACTAGTTGTATTTAGATAGCCCACGCTGACTTTTGTAGTCGAAGTACGCGGTCAATAACTTGTGCACTATTGATTATTTTTTCTTCCTTGCCCACGTTTTTTCTGTTTCTTTCAATGTGAAATCAATCTGTACTTAAAAGCTGAGGACCACTGTTTCTTTCATACTGGGAATCATCACCAGTGCCCATTTGGCGAGATTCTAAGGATTTTCAAACCCACGAATTCTTGGCTGGTGGCTTGAACTCCTGGAATTTCAATAGGCTCTATTTTCTCAAGATATAAGCGTGGCTTTTCTACTTCTACGGCTTCCTTTATTATTGAGTTGCTTTCCCAAATAGAACCGTGGATAAAGTTGAATTTTTCATTGGACCCGATTTAAGGATCACTTTGATACTGCTCAAATTCCTGGGCTCAGCTGATGCCAAAGTAAATGACACCGCATTTTCGGATGTGAGCGCAAAAATTCCACAAGACGAAACTAACCAATATTGTTAACTAAACCGCATCGCTTTCCGTTGCCAGCGGTTCAATCACCCGTTGCCAAATAAGGCGATAGATCGGTGTGTGAACCTTATTGATCCAGCATGCAGCAGAGTACAGTCAAACTTAGCTTGAGGTTTTATCTGTGTGAACAACTTCAGGCTTTCTGAGAGGTAAAGTGCGGTAATTCTAAAACTAAATCACCAAGCTACGCTCATCTTTAGAAATATCTACGGTGGTTTGGTCGTTGATGAAAACAAAACTTTATGAGATGAGCGCAGCATTCAGGATGGATGTTCTTAGTCAAGCGACTACTGGTTTCCAATCGCACTGATTGGATGACCGAGTGGACACAACTCTCTGGACAATGTTCCTGTTTCTAAAATTGCATCCACTACGGTGTGAGGTGTATTGCTATTTTTATTACTGTTTCCGACACGGGTTTGGAATTTCGGACACGCCCAGCTTACCATAACTTCGTTGGCACAGGCGGAATGTGTAACTGGGCCAAATCTTTGAGTGCTCGTATACAATCTTCGGTTTCGTATATCACGCGAATTCTATTTTTGATGTCAAATTGATATCATACATTTAATATGGTGGATGTCCATTGAATCGTCTCAAGTTCGAGACAAGTTCGAGACTGCTTAGAGATCGGTGGCGACAAGGCTTGAATGTTTTGGGAGTAGAATCTATGGGACTTTGTCATCAGTATCATCATCACTATCAGTATAGCGGCATCACTGTTGGCACTGACGCTTTACTCTGCTACACGAACATCAGATCTCGAGCCTTGGCGTGAGAATAGAAGGGACTAGATGGGGATGGGACGTGATGCTAGCCTACCTCAGACATTATGGCGTACCTACATCTCCAAAATCAACGGCACAAACACCACTGATATCCGCCGGCAGCTTTTTCGTGCAGTGACTCAAGCGAGGCAGACGGCGGCGGGGCCATAAACATAAAACACCATCCTTCGAAACAGATGGTACCAAATGAACCCACCTTTTCGTAATCTTTCTCATTTCGTTCTGCAAAGTCACGTTCCCCTCTGTGATTCTATGATTCAACTGGCTCAGGTTTTGCTGGAAATCCGTTGGTAGATTGAGTAGGCTAGGGGATTCTGTCAAGAGCAGTTTGGTTCAAGCAAACTGGTAGCGTAAGAACCCACGTAGTCCTTGGAAGTTGCATGAACGTGATGCACAAACAGCGGCCCGACATGATATTTCACATCACAATTTGGTATTCTAGTTCTGACCTTGTTCTTTCAAAGCACTTTTATCCGTGCTGTGAGAGCACTGACGTGGCAAACTTTTGTTTCTCTTCACTGCACAATAGGACTTTCTTGGTTGTTGAAACTTGCAGCTATGCGGGCAGTATGACAACATGATGAAAAATAATATGATTATTTATAGCCTTGCTTCACCTTTGTGTAAAGTCTCCGCAACGCTGGGAAACTGTCACTATAGATCAATAGCACGTCAGCTGTTTGAAACACTATAGATAATAGCACGTCAGCTGTTTCAAAATGAACTCAGAAACTTACTTCCCGTTTAGCACACAGGAAAGAAGTAGAAATGCTTGCGGAACTTTGATGTGGTTTTTAACCGTGTAGTTTACGCAACTGTTCCATTGAAATTCCGCTACCCACTGTCATGCCTGACAGCGTGTACGTGTTAACCAGAAAACATGGCGCATGTTAGGACACATTCAACCGATATTGCACTCGGTTTTTCCATGCCTGGCTCCAAGTTAATGCTAGACAACATTTCACTTGAGTTCTATATATATTCTTTATATATATATTCTATATTGGTGTATCCACAAAGTGCATCGCAGAGTGCGACAGTACTTTTCTGTGTTAACTATAGAAGTAAGCTCATACGTACGGAAACTTTGCAGAACCGAACCAATGGGTCTTGAGTCATCTTACCCGGCGCACTGCGTAGTTCAGTGTACTTCCATACTTTGGTTAACTTTGTTTCTAAAGATGAAAAGTCACTATGTCGATTCAACTTCCCTGGGACGTTAACACGGGAAAATTGCCCGACCGAATTTCGATAGTTAAGAATTGGAGGGATCGATACGGAGATGTTGCTCATTGGCTTTAAACGCTTGCGGGATTCAAAGAATTTGTGTCGCTTGCTTATTGATGTTGTTGAAACTGTATGGCGAAGCACTGGTGATGAAGACTGAAAAATGGGTCAACAGAAAAGTCCACCTGCGTGGTGAGTGCACAAGAAATGCGACTTTGGAATGGACATATGTTGTGAGTACTTAGGGCCAATTTGTTCAGCTCAATAGCGGGACCATTTATATCGTTCAGCTGTAACACCTTCCTGGTGCTTAGCTGCCATGCCACACAAAGGTTGCAGGAGGGCTGGGATACTGCCAGGTTGCCCAAGCCTAGACAGGGGAAGTCGAGAGGCAGAGGTCGGGTTCGAACCACGGACCTTCTGGTCATTAGATTCGCGCTATCTCGCCCCGGGACCAGTTAGGGCTTTTATATATATGCCTGTCGTGAGTTTTGAGAAGCAAGGCTGTAAGACTCAATGATGCTGGTGGCCACATTTAGTTTTACAACTTACTGGGTTGCTGTGTTGTAGTGGCGTGCATGCGCGCAGTCACCTGCGGTGGAACGACCATGCTGTCTCGAAGCCTATCAACTAGGGTTCATGTCATCTGGAGTGACGGAATGTTTTCTACGTGATATCTTAACTGCCCTATGTAATTAATAGTCGTTGAAAAGTTGCATATCTAGTCTGCTAGGTCGACGAACAATGAGCGAAAACCAATGGAATGTTGGTACATAGCTCGCCTGGATATGCACCGATTTTCACCACTTCCATGTTCATACACAGCTTCCGGTGTTACACAACTTCCACGGAGTCAACCTGTGGGTGTCTCAGTGAAATATTGCAGATACATCGATTTTTGTTCACTGTAGAAGATTTACGAGTTTGCTCATTGGTGAGTGCATGATCCACTACCAGTCCAGACTTTCTGTCGAATCTGCCATGGTGTTGAAAAACTGCTATTATAAAAGAGGAAGCTGCTGTGAGAGAGAGTATCTATTACCTCATTTATCGTAGTCACTCGCTGTTTAGTGTGATAAATTGTTTTTGTGACTAACAGGTAGAACAAAGTGGAGGCTTCCTGTCAGTGAAGTAGCACTGTACATCTGTTTCATTCTCATTTGGGATCATCAGCAGTGCGCATTTCACAAAACTCCGGGGAGTTTCAAGCCTGCTAGTAGTTTGAACAAATGACCGTTCAGTCTGGAGTAGCTGATTATCCCGCACTTTAACTGCGGTGGTTTGTGCCGAATCGTAGAGGTTCATGCCTGTGTAAATGATCGGTCATTCATCCCGCATTACACACTCGAGTGTTTGGATCGTGACAGACTCAATGCACTACGTATATGTGATTATCAGTACTACAGACTTATTGAATACTCTCCAGGCCTATTAGGATAAACTTGTAATCAATGCTGAAACTGTACGTCTCATTCTATTCTACCCTTGTTTCCCTAAATCAATCACCTGGTTTAACGCGTTATGAATCAACAAATATCGAGTTTCCCTGAACCAAGCATTTTTAATTCAACAATTTGGTTGACTAAATCACGGATTGTGTTTGTTTTTTCGTATGTTTCGTTGGATCTTCGCTTATCATCTGTGAGAAACTTAGGATCATACGTGGTGAAGAGGTCTTGAGATTTTAGTTGGAATCATGTCGGGCAAATAAATTCAGTCTAGTATTCGAGGTCGGAAATTAATAACCAGCCGTTTCTTCCTTATTAAGTACCACCTGTCTTGCTCACTTCACGAAATGATGCGTAGAATAAACAAAAAGACGTACAAAAAGACGTTCTCAGCTCAGAATAAAAAAGACGCAGCACTTTTTCTAAGAAGCCGTTACTCAAGAAGCCAGAAAGTAACCAGAAGGGATGTTTCCCTTATTACGTTATTGAAGCATTTAGATATCGAAGTTTTTTCTGAGAAACTCCTTTTCTCCATTTTCTCTGTCTATTATCTTTTGCCTTTTGATGTTTTTTTGTATATTGCATGTATGTTGTATTCTGCTATGTGATTACCATACTTTGAATATAGTAACGTCTACTTCTAATGGATCTTTCACGTGGTTGTGTGGACATACAATCGTACCGCTTGAAGCTCTATCCGATATGTCAACCATCACTCGTCACCCGTGTGATATTTTTGACTGTTTTATGCATATGGGATCAGTTTGTGCTCATCCGATGTATTTCCATTTCAACAGCTCTCAACGCGGCAATAACATGTTGTGCAATTTCCCATGCAGGATCCTGCTTATCATCATCAACACAATCAGCTTGGTGAGTTTGTTTTGTCCACAGGTACACACACTTGACATCCCGCTAATCCGAATCGAATCTAGACCGTGAATAATGCCGATTTCTCCAACGCAGACAACATGCCCTACTTGCATTCTGGTCGGAACAGGCTAAACAGACAAACGTTGTAACAGTTGTAACACGCTTCCGGTGCCTACCTGCCATGCCACCCGAGGGATGGATATTGCCACGTTGCCCAAGCCCAGACAGGGGAAGTGGAGAGGCGGAGGTTGGGTTCATACGACGCGCTCTAACCATCAGGCTATCTCTCCCACTTTGTCTGTTTCAGAAAGAAAGAACGGTTTTAAAATGAAGGTGACATAAATAGGCGAATTGTATAGATTTTCTCTGCAAATCTTTCGAGTCCAAAATCTATTTGTAGCATTACATGGGCAATAATGGCAAGCAGTTGGTTGCTGGATTACCTAAGTTAGTGGTCGACTGGAAATCGGTAGAGAAATGCAAATCGGTCAAGTGGAACGAATAAATGTAGTTGCATAGCTTGGACACAAGTGCTCACACCGAGCGACAGATTGCATAGAAAAGGGTGAGAATAATCCTAGTCCAAGTACAAACATGTGGGTGTAGTATTAGCTGAATTTAAAAGACTACAGTACACATATCCAAACAGCTATTTTTACTGAACCTGTACGAACCTGTAAATGTTT